GTGTAACTTTCCAGTAGGTCACCCATCCCAAAATTGCTCCGGGATGAGCATGCTTAAATGCGGAGTTTCTTACATAAATTTTAGCCATTACACCAAAAGGAGTCTCGATGTTTAAGAGTTTATCTTCTTTTACTTAAGGTGTTTCACGCAAGTTTTCTATCCTAGACTCCTAGTGATAGATGAGTTGTTATATGACCTTTGTGGAGCATTAGTATTCACAAAGATGGACCTGAAGTCCGAATTCCATCATATTCGGATGACAGAGGAAGTTGTCTCGCAGACAGCTTTCAGGACACATAAGAGACACTATAAGTTCTTGTTGATGTTTTTTGGTCTCACCAACACCCTTGCTACCTTCCAATCCCTCATGAATAAGGTGTTTAGGCCTTACCTCAAGAAGTTTGTTCTGATTTTCTTTGATGACATCTTAGTGCATATCAAATCCAATGAGCAGCATTTGGAGCATCTTAGGGCGGTCTTGGAGGTGTTACAAGAGCATCAGCTGAGGGCCAATCTAAAGAAGTGATGTTTTGCACATGCGAGTGTAGAGTATTTGGGGCACGTGGTATCACAGGAAGGGGTTGTCGCTGATAAGGCCAAGATTGATGCAATGCTTAAGTGGCCTCTACCTAGGAGCTTGAGGGAGTTAAGGGATTTCCTAGGATTGATATGGTACTACAGGAGGTTCGTGAGAGGATGTAGCAACATTGCTTGGCCTTTGATAGAGCAACTGAAGAAAGACAACTTATTGTAGGGAGAGGAACCTACTCAGGCCTTTGAGAGATTGAAGACCTCCATGACCACAATTTCGATTTTGGCACTACCTGATTTCAACCAAATATTCGTGATAGAGGTAGATGTCTCAGGATATGGGTTGGGGGCAGTGCTCATGTAAAGTCACAGACTCATAGACTACTTCAGCCAAGTGCTGACTACCAGAGCCAGGCTAAAGTTAGTCTATGAGAGAGAGCTAATGACCATTGTATTAGCTATTCAGAAGTGACAACCATATTTGTTGGGACGACATTTCATTGTCAGGACCGATCAGAGGAGCTTGGAGTACTTACTCGAGCAGAGGATGATGATTAAGGAGCATCAGAGGTGGTTGTCTAAGTTATTGGGATATGATTTTGAAATCCAATACAGGTCAGGGTAAAACACATGACAACCAATTTCTTGTCCAGATGCGTGGGTAGCTCCAAGAGATGGCCATTTCGATAATGTTGATGTTATTGGGGGCTATTAAGGAAGAGAGTGCGCAGGACAAGGAGCTGAGGAAGAATATAAAGGATTTGCTAAACAATTAGAATAGCCATCCGGGTTATTCAGCAAATGGGGAGAGAATGTTATACCAAGGGAGGTTTGTATTGCCACTAACCTCAATTCGTATTCCGCATTTGCTACAGGAGTTCCGCGGGAGTGCTATTGGGGGTCACTCGTGTGTACAGAAGACATACTGGAGATTCACTATTGAACTTTTTTGGAAGAGAATGCACAAAGATGTAGAGGAGATGGTGGTCAAATGCGAGGTTTGCTAGAGGAATAAGTATATGGCTATGGATCTAGAGGGGTACTACAACCTTTAGCACTCCAAAGCAGAGTGTTGGAAGAGGTCTCTAAGGGTTTCATATACGGGCTACCCCGATCAAAGGGGTTTATAGTTATTCTAGTGGTGGTAGACAGACTAAGCAAATATGCTCATTTCATTCCTCTCCGATATCCTTACACGACAATAATAGTGACATCAACTTTCATTAGAGAGGTGGTTAGATTACTCGAGATACCATAATTGATAATATCCGATTGAGACAATGTGTTCCTCAATCACTTTTGGAGGGAGTTGTCAGGCTGCAGGGGACTATACTAACGAGGAGCACCAGTTACAACCCTCAGACCAAGGGCAGAAGGAGGTGGTCAATAGGAGCTTGGAAACATACCTGCGATACTTTGTTTCAGAGATGCCTCGACAGTGGGCTGGCTTGGGCAAAGTACTGATACAACACTTCATACCACTCAACGTCCCAGATAACCCCTTTCAAGGTGTTGTACGACAGAAATCCGCCTCACCTGGTACACTTTGGGCAGAGTAATACATCAGTCTTTTCAGTGGAACAATGGAATTGTATTTTGCACACCACTTGGTGTTCCTCTAAATGAAATAAAGCGGCCTTTGGCTTATCTATGCATGTGTTATATAAAACTAGAAGACGTGAAAACTTTTCCCCCGTCTTCTGCTTTATTGAATACTTTATCTAAAGTCTATTTTTGAAGGCCAGTAGCCTGACAGTTATCATCCGCATATAATCTGCATTCTTGTGCACTAATCAAAGCAGTCATTAGCTCATTCAACAAGCATTCACAAAGAATTCCAGTTTGGGCTTCTTGATCTATGACCTTTTTTCTTAATGTTTTCATTCTCTATCAACTTAGGTTGATGGAACGGGGATTGCTTTCTTTAGAGGAGGCTCAGAAGGTATACGCAAAGAAGCTAAAAAAGAATCACAATCAGAAATTTAGTTCGCCTGCAAAGGTTACTACCCCTGTGAAGAAATCTTCTACAGTCTTGGTTAAGAAGAAAGTTAAAGTAACCTCCAAAGCATCGGTGAAAACAACTAAGAAGAAAGTTATTGATTCAGAAGATGATGACGAAGATTTCGTCCTTAATAAATTGGGCAACAAAACAAAGGTTTCTTGCTGATAACAGAAAGGTTTGATTGTAAATTATTCCATCAGTGACAAATCTCTTTATTTCATTTATCAGTAGTTTGAAAGCTCAATTATGGTTTCATTGAAGGTTTGTTTAGATTAGCAGCAGTTTGCTTGTCTTATGGGAGATGCAATGTGTATGACAAGCTGAGATTTGTAGTACTAAATTTGTAGGAATTACGTTCCTTTATGATGAAAGGAAGAGGAAATGTAGCATCATAGGATTTAATGGCTGATATAGTTTTTTTGGCTTGTTGGGATTTATCTTCAAAGATGGAGAAATTATTATGTGCGATCACCGGACTGTTCAGAGGCGAATTACGATGCTTCACGTCACCCTGTTACATAGCGCCGATACATAGCAAATGGTGATGTGGTGCATCCTGATATGCCTCTGAACGGTATTCGGTGACCGCACGTAATAATTTCATTGAAAGATGATACGTAATGCCTATTGTTCTTTTAACAACATTCAAAAGAATTTTACCAATTGATTTTGGCATTGGAATTCTCATCAATAGTTTCATGTGGTTAGTAGTTATTGATCATATGTGCAATTTGATATGAACTTAAGCATGGGCTTAGCTTGTTCTAAAAAAGTTGGTGAAATGTGGGTTCTATTTTGATAATTTTTTAGTAGAGTAATAAATGGCGTAGCATCATAAGTTGCTTTATGAAAGGGCATGATTAAGGATTAAATTAATTTATCACTATCGAATAGCACTTAGGTTTTTTAAAGCACTCTTTGGATTTGTTCGGAGCAACATTTTTATTATTATATTTTTCAGTCAGCGACAATTTTTTAATTATTTTTTTCATTGTTTCATAAAAATTGTTGTGGTTAAAAGATGTTTTTTTATAATTAAATTTGTTAAGTTTTTTTTTTTCTCACAATTATTTTATAATCAATTTTATTAAAAAAAATTATAGATGTTCTAAATAGACCTTTTGTTCTTGTATTGTGGGAAGTATATTTTGGTTTAAAGCTCAAAACAGGTCTGTAATTTTGCTCTAACGTGAAGCTCATTTGAAACTTACCTTGAATTTTGAGTAAGTTTAAAATTGATTTAAATTGAAGAGTTGAGTTATGAGTCTAATTTTCAAGCTCTGTTTAATTTTGAGTGCAGCACTACTTGCTCATGATGTATAAAAAAAAAAAGCCCAGCTAAATAAAAATTAGTATAAATTAAGCAAAAATTGAATGGTCGATTGGTCATTGAGGCATTGAGCTACTTGTAGTTAAATTCTCATGACTTAGGCTTCGTTTGGGATGGCTTTTTGATTGATTTCTAAAACAGAATTTTAGTACAAAAATAAAAATAAAATTTTTGTACTAAAACTCCGTTTTAAAACCAGTAATAAAATCGTCCCAAACGAAGCCTTAAGCTCCCTTGTTGGACTGATTTTTATTGCTTCTTAAAATATAATTTTAATATAAAATTAAAAAATTTTACTAAAATTTTATTTTAAAAAATAATAATAATAATTTTTAATTAAAATTCTAATAAAAAAAATCATCAAAGAGCTTCTACTTAGACAATTTTTCCTTCCCTTTATTTCCATCTCCCATATGATCCTTACAATTTAAGTCATTTAAGTGTTTTTTTTTTTTAAATTAATGTCACGAATTTATAATATATTAATTTTAAAACAAATTTAATAAAATTTAAATTCTCTTAGAGGACATCTTGACACAATTTTTATTTCAATTTTTCTAAGCAAAGCTAGTGCTTGCTGGTATAGGTAGGGGTGGCTTGAGAAGATGGAGAAATTAATCTGTGCGGCATTTGGACTATCCAGATATGTGAGTATGCATATTTTGTACACAATATACGTCAAGTCAGTGAACACATTATACATACACGGTGTGCATACTCACAATCCAAACGATTCTTACCATCCGGATGCCGCAAAAAATGATTTCTCCTTGAGCTGATAGCGAGGGTTACAAGACCTGCAAGATGGGGTGCGTTCAGATATTGTGTGGCCTTTCTTCTCTAATTTATACTCAGTCCTCTCCTTTTTCAGATCTGAGCTATGATGATATTTTCATTACATATAAGAGTTTGACCCTGCATATCTTCAATTAAGTAGAAAAGAAGATCTCTTCAATACAAATAGGCCAAATCAACTCAAGTCTCATATTTTAGAGGAATTATTTTGATAAAGATAAAAAGATAGAAGTATTAAATACAACTAGCTCCTAATTAATTGAGAATTTTTTTAGGTCTTTTAACATTCATAAAAGACTTTTAAGCATGTGGTAGCATTTTTTTCCAAGTTATTTATCTCTTAAATTCAGTATGCAAATTGCAATTATACATATTATTGCCCAAGGAAAGGAAAGTCTTATTATTGCCATACATTTTGGATTGCAATTGGTTGCATACACTTTGGATTATTTATTTACTTGTAAATGATTTGAATCACCCAACTTGAGGTATTGCCATGGATGGTGGGAGAAGCGTTGATGGGGAATTAAGAGTCTCATGAACGACAGAGTTGGAAGAAACAAAAATGGGGTTACCTTCTAGTTGCAGCATAATGCATCCAAGAATCTCTTTCATCAACTGCTGGAACTCTTCTTCATTCACAAGCTTCCCTTCATCAGCATTTACCATCTTTGATGCCTCATTCACAACATCATCCACCTGTGATATCATGGGGCATGCTTTAGATGTTCGATTATTATCAAATATATCGATGACGACGACGATGATGACGAGTCTTTATCCCACTATGTTGACATGCTTACCAAGGTGATCCTTGTTCTCGAGTTCAAGAAAGCTTAAACTTACACCGACTTATGAAGTTGTTGATGCTCTTAGGGTTCGTTTGAGACGACTTTTTTACTGCTTATTGAAGCAGCTTTTGTATAAAAATTAAATTTTTTGTACTAGAAACCTGCTTCAAGAAGTAGTAAAAAAGTCGTCCCAAACGAAACTTTATAGGCTTTCAACGAGGCGAATATTGTGGTGATTGAATCATTAACATGATTATTCTTCGTTCTTCAATGATAATAAGTATTTAATACATGTAGGATGAATTGTTAGAGGCTATATCAAATGATAAAAATAGTTTTGGTATTTTTGCTTGTTTTAACACACTATGTTATGTCTATTGGACCAAGTTATACACGTCTATTAATCTACCAAGTGATACTCATAGCATGAGTGATCACAATCACATATAAAAAGACAAGCAGATATTAATGGAGAGTAACAGCTTCATCTAACATGATTAGAAAATTAAATAACTAGTAGGTGAAGATGAAATGAGGAGAAGAATAACCTGAGAAACAGCACCAAAAGGAGGTAAATCTGCAGATGCAGCCATTTTATCAAGTGCAATACGCAGGAAC